TTTTCCTAAATTTTTTTTTATTTATCTGTTTAAAATTTATCTTCTAAAAGTTTATTTACATATATCTAAATTTGTATTTTCATGTCTCTACATGACAAAAATTTCTGCACGGTCGCACCCAAAATAGAAAATGCATGTCCCGAGTCCGGACCTCGTCCCCGATTCCATTTTTTAAATAATTAATATATATTATTACACTTTTTTATTTTTTTAATTCTAAAAATAATAATAAAAAAACAATTATAAAATCGATATTTTTTCTAGAGAACATCTGGTTACCAAACATGTTTGGTTTTTTCTATTTTTTAAAAATAAATTAACAAAAAAAAACATTGTCATCAATCATATATGGTTTTTTTTTAAAAAAAAATAAAAAACCAAAAATCAAAAACTAAAATCAGAGGAAAAAAAACCAGAACCAAAAACATAAATAGTTACAAAACCACCCGGATAATTTTCGTTTTCAGAAGGTAAAAATAAATTATGCCTTGGAGAAAAAACTACTCATTTTCCCTACTTTAGGGTTGAAGCTCAACTGTAAGGAAAAAACGTGCCAGCGAAGGTCTAATTCTCATTTCCTTTTCATTGCTCTAATCGTTTCATCTTGTTATTTAGTTTTGATGTTGATTTCAGTTCTTACACTTCTGTATTTCTCTTCGTAGATTTTGATCTAATGTATTCTTGGTTTCGATCTTCAGATGTTTTAACGTTTAGTTGACGAAATACAATGAGTAATCTCCTAAATTAGCTTGGATATGACTTTATTTGACAGTTATTATTTCATTTTTCCTTTGTGTATGTGTAATCGGAAGTAAAAGGCACGCATTCTTGATATCTGTTTGTAGTTCCTTACTAATATTTGTGAAAAAGAGAGAGAGGAAAATCGCTAAAATTACACTTCCATAGATTTTTTTCTGTTTAATATGTTTATTTTGAATTTTATAATACCATAGCTTTCTTTATTTCTTATTTTTTAAATTAGGGAGGCAATGTACATTGAAAGTGAATAAGATATTTGCAGTAGAGTTGTTATATTGCACAAATACTTATTTGTTCCCTCTGAAGTTTCGTGGTTTTTTTTTGGGTAAATTTCTTTCAGGTCGTCAAAAATGGCTTTTCTGTTGGAAAAATATTTACGTAGACTTGTGCTTTCGGCTCACATTTGCAACCTTCCATTGATTGTTGTGCAACACGGGTCCACTCATATGTTGAGCAACCTCTTGGTTTTCTGAAGAATGGAGACGAGGACAAGATATGTCAATTGAAGAAAGCATTGTATGGACTAAAGCAAGCACCAAAAGCCTGGTACAATCGTATTGATAGTTTTTTCCTAAAGAATGATTTCAAAAGATGTCCATATGAATATGCTGTCTACAACAAAGAAGACAAGAATGGTAATTTCTTGATCATTTGTTCATACATTGATGATTTGATATTTTCGGGAACTTCAACGATGATGCTTGAAGAGTTCAAAGAAAACATTAAGAAAGAATTTGAGATGACTGATACGGGACTTGCTTCATTACTTTCTTGGTATTCAAGTAAAGCAAAGTGATATTGGGATTAATATTTCCCAAAAGAAGTATGCATGGATAATGCCTATCTGCTAGTACTCCTACAAAGTAGGTTTGAAATTGAGCAAGCATGATGAAAGTGAAGATTTTGATGCCACCATCTATAGAAGTCTCGTTAGAAGTTTAATGTATTTAACTACAACTAGACCTGATCTTATGTTCTCAGTCAGTTTATCGGGTAGATTTATGGCATCACTAAAGAGAAGTCATTGGGAAGCTGGAAAAAGAGTTCTTCGATATGTTCATGGAACTATTAATCATGGAATTTAGTATAATAAGAACATTGATAATGTTCTTGTTGGATATAGTGATAGCAATTGGGGAGGAAATATTGAAGGTTATAAAAGTACTTCTGGATATGTGTTTAGTATTGGTTATGGAGCAGTTTCATGGGCATCAAAGAAGCAGGATCTTGTAGCGTTGTCAACAACCGAAGCTGAATACATCTCTTTATCCACAGCCAGTTGTCAAGCACTTTGGCTGAGAGAGGTGCTACATGAATTGAAGTGTCCTCAAGAAAAAGGGACCATCATGTTTTGTGATAATATCTCATCAATTGCTCTTTCGAAGAATCCAGTTTTTCATGGAAGGAGTAAACATATAAAGATCAAATATCATTTCATCAAAGAATAGATGCATAGCAAGACACAAGATCAAGTTGCAGATATATTTACAGAAGCATTGAAGACAGACTTGTTCTTGAAAATGAAGGAGAAGCTTGGAGTAATGGAAGTCTAGCTTAAGGGAGAATGTTAGAATTTAAGCTAGATTAATTTCCTATACACATACATGAATTGTTAGATAAATGTAAGTTAATGTATTGAGAGATACATGAATGGTATGTGCATGTATCTATATTTATTTTGTGTCTTTTAAATGTGTCTCTTGGATGTTATATAAAGGGGTCACTTCCCTCATTTGTAAGTAAGCAAGAAAGAAGCAAATTGAAGCATTTCAATCCAGAAAGAAAAGAGAACAATATTATTCTCTTGTTCTTGAGTTTCATAAGAGAACAAATTTCTTCTCTTCAAAGTTGGTGGGATTTAGAGTGATTTTTAGTGAAGGCTTATCAACGTTTCCAACATGTAGAGCATTAACCGTCCCTTTCTCAGATTTTCTACACGCGATTGCCTCTGAAAAATGCTTCACGCCCCGCACGAGCAGCCTCCATCATCACCTGTTCACATTGAGTGTAAAGGCAAACACTTGTTTTCCCATCCTGCTAAAACTAGAGTGAATTTTGTTGGCTGTTTTACTGGTGCGTTATGAGGGTGGGTTGTAGAAGAGAACAAAAAATAATGCACCGGCAAAGAGCAGACAAATTCAAATTTGATGACCATAATATTATCCGATAATGTTATTTTAATTATAATTAGATTTGAATTAGATTTACTTTATTATATTATTTGAATTAGATTTTCTATCATGATTAAAAATTATACAATACTATAAATTAGTTATTAGATTTGTATCAGAAATTCAATTAAATGAAATATTATACGTTATTTTGTTATATTTATTTTCTCCCCTCCCCTAAAAGTTAACAATGACAACATCTGATGATTAGTAATTCTTACCAGCGCATTGCATGCACTGAGAATAACTAAATGACGTAGACGTACACTAGTTCAGATAATATCTTTACCTCCGGCACATTTTCACTTAACTCAATCCTAGAAAATGGAGATGGAGCCATTTCAAGACAGACTGTCTGAAGCTCCCAAGCAATTTCATGAACAAACAAAGGAAACTTCACATTTAAACATATTTATACTGGAAGGCAGTTAGTTAAAAGTTACTAACTTACTGATTTTATTTTCTACGGCTGTAATTCTTTAAGAAGTAAGATATGTTGTAAATCTAACTCTTGTACCCCTATTAAATAGCTTAGAAAATAGAGAGATTTACAATGTACCACAAAAAAGGAGGTTTCAATAATATCAAGGCCGGCTAATTGCAACAATGGAGGTAGGCAAAATGCTGAACCGCTGTAAACAAGAGTGTTGATTATCTTCTATTTTTTTCTTTTCTCGCATCAGTTCTTCTTTTCATTAGTACTTGGAACTACTATCTGTGGAAGCTTGCTGGTTAAAGAGTGGGTCTGTACAAGGGAAAAAAAAGATCTTGATCTAACCACATTGGTATCAGAACTTGGAAGAAAGATCCATGGCAGTAGCTAGATATGAGATAGAGAAGTTTAATGGGACTGGAGATTTTAATCTCTGGACACAAAAAATCAGGGCGGAGAGCGCGTTAAAGGACCTGCAAAATTATCAAAGAAATTTAAGGAAGAACAAATCACTACAATGGAAGGAGCTACATATAGTTTGCTGATTTTGAATCTTGGGGATAGTGTTCTGAGACAGATCATTGATGAGACAACTGCTAATAAATTGTGGACAACACTGAATTCAATATACACAAAGAAGTATCTTCCCAATAAAATCTACATTGAACAAAAATTACACTTTCAAGATGAATTCAGCGAAGACAATTTCTGAAAATCTTGATGAATTCAAGAAACTCACCTTAGAGGATTAAAAGAACTGAACAAGCAAGATCTAATTTCAATGTCAACTCAACACCAACTCAAATTCTGTGAACACTACATTTATGGTAACTGATAAGGCCAAAAGAATAAAATTTCTGAAGGGACAAGATAATATAGTAGAGGAATTCTTGATTATGTGCATGCAGATCTCTGGGGCCAACAAGAGATTCATCACTAAATGGTGTCATGTATTTTCTATCTCCTGTGGATGACTATTCTAGAAGGAGATGGATCTATTTCTTGGAAACTAACGATCAGACAATAGAAAAATTCAAGGAATGGGTGGCATATGTTGAAAATCAAACTAATAGAAGACTTAAGTACCTAAGAACTGATAACGACTTAGAATTCCTTGGAGATCCCACTACTAGAAATTCGGTCTATTGTGACGTTTTTTTGGCGTCACAAAAAACTTTCGTAACGTTTTTAACGCCGTCACGTATACGTCCATCACGAAAGGTATACGAGATGTTTAAAAAACGTCACAAAAATTAACACACGTGACGTTTTATTAGCGTCATGAAAGACATGGACTTCCACGACGTTCATAAACCGTCATGAAAAATGATTTCGTGACGGTTATAGAATGTCACGGAAAGACATGGAATAGGGGAGGAGAGGTCACGTGACATCCTTTCGTGACGGTGTTTAAACGTCATGAAAAGTTTATTCCATGACGTTTGATAATAGTCCTAAAAAATATTTTGGTGACGGTTTAAAAACGTCACTAATGATTTTATTTTGTGACGATAAAAAGAGGGTCACTGAATATGTATTTAATTTTGATTGCAGATGTCGCGAAATATAAATATCATATTGTCAACTTGTCGATCGAACACGCAAATATATTAATTTACCATAACAAAGTTGAAATATATTAAACATGAACAAGGAAGCTAATATATTAATTTAGAATATACTAGTATTCTCAAATACAAATTACAGAATTACAGAATTAAACATATTCCGTACACACCAACCCCAACAACGATGCTCAGCCACCAATTAGTTGCATTCATAATTGTCGACATCTTTGGGATAAGAAAGACCTAATGAAAAAACAATACCCAAGTTAGATAAATGACGAACGAAAGATGGATAAGGTTAAGGAAAGTCACTTTCTAAAAAACATGTCTATGGTCGTGATATTTGCAAATAACATTCTTAAATAAACAAACTAAGAGCCTATCACAATAGTATTCTTTGCAAATACTATTCCAACGTTACAGAATTGATTAAACAAAAACCAACCTACGTACATATCTTCTATATCTTTAGTAATATCGTATAACGTAATACCCACATTACGTTGATCCAGGTTGTCTTGGACACTATGCATACAACAAGGCATGAATGTTGATGAGCATCCATTGCTTCCATGACTCTAACTCTATCACCCACTTCTATTGCTGTAAATCTACTACACACTTCCATTAATATCCTAATAGTTCCCAACTTGTGCACAAAATATATTCTCAATAGGATTATATTTTTACACAACAAAATTAAGTCAACAAACTTAACCATAATTAATTCAATTACCTCGATAGCAATGACATTGCGCAAGCTCAAACAAAAAAGTGTCAAAATTTCAACATGACCTCTACTATAACATCCTAAAATCATACCTGAAATATGATACAAATAACACATTTAAACATGATAGGTATAGAACCACCCGTCCCTCAATAAACTATAACATATTCAAACTCTTCTATACATGTAATACTATTGAAATGGGACCACCCATCCCTCCACAAACTACATTTAGCAAACATCCAACATTTCGACACATGTAACATAATAATTGTAATATAATGAGACCACACATCCCT